AGATATTATTACCACCATTCAGTCGGTCAAATCAGAGGAGGATAATAAATAATCCTAAAATTCTACTTCAATTTACGCACATCATAACATTCTACCAAGTTACTTATTTATTTTGACTATAAAAACACTCGTCTTATTTCCCATCTGATTGTATTTGGCTAATAACACTCATATTATTATTTCTGAACGTACATTACCACATATTGATTTTTATACCAATATCTAATCGTCAATTCCGCACATGTATATAAATGAAGGAAGAGAGTTGTGTGAGTGAGTAGCTTGATATGATTATGACTGGCAATAGTAGTTTGTGCTCGAAACGTGTGGTCATCAGTTAATATTACTGTACACCAGTCCACTGTATGATTTTATCAAAATAAACTCTTATCCATAATGGAGTAATTCTAAGGTACTGGTAATTTGAAAAATCCCTAAATCACTAGGATCTGTGGATTGATAGTTGTATTCTATGAGAAACTTCTCACATTTGTGTTAAACTTACTAACGTTGAGTACGCTGTTTTTCTAAAAAAATGTTCATTGTTAATCTCATGCAAAAAACTAATCATACCGAATATGAGGAATGAAATCAACCTGTATTTGCCTTATTCTATTACCTCTGAATAAGAATAGGTAGTTGTTGCATTGTATCTAATCAATTCAACGGGGTTGTATTGAACTTCTCAGAGTAGATGCATATTTAGAAGGCAATCACAGGATTATTATCGCTTATTTGTAACTAGAAATATGATGAAATTTTATCTATCTCATGGCTGTGAATATGGTGCTCAAATGTTAATTGAGCAGAATGTCTGTTGTTGTTATTCATGGCGTCTAAAGAATTACCGCCGTTATTTATTATTATTATTATTATTACTTCCTCCACTTTGTTCTGTTTTCTGCCGTCCTCCTCTCCAGCTAGCTGCACGATTGCCCATAATTTCTCGTCTTCTCCTCGCACAGTCTCCTCCTTCATGTCACCATCGCACTGATGACGCACTCCTCACCACCTCTCATCGAGATTCCACTCGAATGATGACCTGCATTGTGAGCAATGTCAGTCGATGGTCTCCTTTGCGTGTGCCCGATCCACCCCAATTTTCTTGCGCATATTTGTTGGGCAATCGGCTCTCGCCTAAGTTTCTTGTTGCTAATTCTTTCTGATGGGCTGGCCATTTGATCTTCAGTAATGGAGCCAGCCAGCGGAGTGAGCAGCTGTTGATGAAAATCTGCAACAGACTGTTGAAGTTCCTTCTCGTCACACACACACACACAGTACAAGTGTCTGATCCGTATAGAAGAAGAAGTGACTGACTTCATATTTGAGTTGAAAATCCACATCTTGTTGTTTATGTCGTAGAGTGCAGAAGATTTCCAAACTGGTTTCAGGTTGATGAAGACATATCTTCTTGCCTTTCCGATCCTGTCTAACATTGATATCTTCATCAATTGCTTCTGCAGTTGAAACAATGCTTCCTAGCCACATAAGTGAACGAAGTAACCTCTGTTAAATCTCTACCACTGATGTTGATTGATGCTGGTTGTTGCTGTTATTGTTGTTGTCTTCTCTATATGTCTTCTCTGCCTGCTCACATCTATTGCCACTTTATTCGTTTTCGCCTGCCTTCAGGTCTTCGAGTTCGTTTGACACTAAACATAAATCATCCACGCGCGAAATCCTCATCTTCTAGAGTCTTCTTACCGGTCAGTCCAGCGTATTCCTGTCTTCTCACCGCCGGTGCACAACCCGACGCATACATAATCCAGTCCACCACAATTAACGCTATAGACACGCACAATTAAAAACAAATAAAAAAAATTTTAAGTATTGGTTTTGTTAGGATTTTTGTTTAATTGCATGGAGGATTTCATCATGAGCTGACATCAGTTAGAGAACCACTGAAAACCTGGGAGTACTGGACAGCTGTTTCGTCCTATTTCGGGTCTCTTCATCAGTACGCGTTCCGCTCGTAGACAATTGAGCCACTGGGACCCGATCCAATGGCCCATGAATTCTAACTTCTACCAGTTCACGACATAGCGCGACCATTTCACAATGTCTTCTTATTTTTTTATTTTTGATTACAGCTTGACTCCACACCGTATTTTCGGTACAAGTGTGGAATTTTCAGCGTGGATATCGGTAGCCCAAAATTCGCAGGCCGACCATAGATATCAGATGTGCGTCGGCGTGGGCTCGAACCCCGGACCATGTGCATGGTCGGCGAGAGTCCTAACCACTGTGCCACCGATGAGTTACTGCCTCATCTTCAACCTGCTGTACCCCAGCGGCATGAATGTCTACGAGCTCGCTAGCCTTGTAACCAGAAGTTCCTGGGTTCGAACCCTGTCGTTGGGTGCGTACTGATGAAGAGTCAGTCCCAAACTAGGCTGACGAAACAGCCGTCCACTACTCCCTGGTAGGTTTCCAGTGGTTCTCTAACTGATGTCAGCTCATGATTAGATCCTTCATGAAATCAAATAAAAATTATCACTACTGTAAAATATCATTGTATAAATCTGTTTTGGAGGTATGCGCATAAAACTAGATAGGTGAACTAAGCTATATTTGTCTAAAACAAAAGAATCATGACACTTTGTGAAGGTTGTCGCAACACTGTTTTAAAACACAAGTCTAGTGAAACGTTTGACTCAGCAGTTAGTTATTAGACATCGCCTTATATCAATGAATAGTGCTCAGTAATTGGAGGATAATGATGACGAACACTTGCGCTTGCATACTTTCAGCTTTGGCAGCCCCTAGTTGAGCTTGCCAACTGCATGGTTTCTATTCTTTTATATTGGTTATGTCAGCTTGTTTCACATATATTTTTTCGTTTTTCTGTTCACTATAACTGTTGTGTGCAGCTTATTGGCTCTTACCTAGTATGCCGCTTGTTCCATGTACGTGTATGACTGACTGATTGGTGTCAATATAGAACTTTGTACATATGTAGAACATTCCAAGTTGTCACACTCTCTCCTTGTAACACACAAGGCTTTGGTTTTTACCATTCTGAGGATTCCAACCAGTCAGGAAGTCTACACCTCCCTCACTACGTGACTGGCTGGCTTAAGCTAACTGTTCCGGATTTGATTGACTGATGAAGCCATGTCTTGGTTTGATCATAATGTGCTAGCTCTTTTCCAACCTCATGCATCATCCTATGTCAGTCAGCTAACATTGGCCATCGATCGAAGAAGGCGATCGATGGCTGGTCATGCATGTGTAACACACGTCCTAACCACCCCAATCAATGTAACTTCATGACCTCATCGATTGATTCCCACCCATCCCCACCTACCTACCTATCACTCAACCGATGCCTAACCTCATGGGAGAGAGAACTCAGATGCCCATTATCAAGGACTGCTAGTCAGCCAGCCAGGTTTTTCGTGTCTTCCAATGACTATGTCTCGGTCACAACCATAAAGCAGGATGAAACGAAGTTCTACTAAGTAGTACACACGTCCTTTGCTTGCTAGGCAGCCAGAGATGGAGTGAGTTGGTGGGTGTATGCCAAATAACCCTTCTGTATCCGTGTTGAGATTTCATCAACTATCAACCCGCTGGCGTTGGCTAATGCAACTCCTCAAATATAGTGAAGTAGTCAACACGCCGCACCACGTCTATCGTTAAGCCAGGATTCGGTGTATTCCAGTCCTGTAGCACGCTTTATCTTACATTTGACAGCAGGATGCCGAACATTCGAAAATTGGTCACTGCTGAAGGTGTTCAGAAGACTCTGCTCTATTCTGTCAGCGACTTCGCTTAGGTGGAAGGACTATATCATCTGCATGTGTTGCGAGTTAACGAGATTATTCGCTGGTATTTGTCTACCTGATTAAACACGTTACTAGAGAGAAAAAAGCTGTGTTGATATGGTATGCAAGTCTGCAAAGCCTTACTCTTGTCACTATATCCCGCAAAAGTAATTGATATTATACCATTATATTATTGATCGTTCTCTCAAGCATTCATATTGAATGCAGACGAATGTTAGTACTTTTTTATCATCATACCTGCTTAACAGTCACGTACGATTAGATTGTGGTAAAAGTTATCTTAAAATTATAAAGTTTGTGAATGAGAGGTGTTACAACAAATAGGCTAAAATGGTTGCTTTCTACTCATATTTCTAGCCACCTCTTACCTAAATCACGTTTTTTTTGTGCGTAATGTCTGTGTGTGTTAGCGTCTGCCTGTCTATTTTCGACATAGAACTTTACACTGATGTGCACCAGTTCAAGTCGCCACACTTCACTCTTTGTAGCACACAAGCATGAGAAAAAAATAGAAGAAATGCAATATAGAGACACTAAACAGAGATAAAGGAATAGTAATAACGAAGAACAATATAGTTTCATTGGAAATCATAAGTCACAAGGAGTGGATGCATCTGCGCCAGACATTGAGAACGACGATTTTGAGCCATATCACCAATTGTCTCCAGTCATTGGTTACTGCCGTCCCAAGGACCCCTACCAGCCAGTCAGGAAGTCTACACCTTCCTACGTGACTGGCTGGCTTAAACTAGCTGTTGCATATTTCATTGACTTGTACCATGTTTTGGTTTGACCACCACTGGCTAACTCTTTTCCAGCCTGACCCTATGTCAGCTAACATTGCCTTTCAGTTGAGGAAGGCGATGACTAGGCATACGTACGTAACACATTTCCTAACCATCTCAATCGGTGTAACTTCACCGCCTTGTCGATTGATTTCCTCTCCTTACCTAGCACTCGACTCACGCCTAACCTCAATGTTGCTCACTCTATTATACTACCACTTCACACGGGAGATAGATCGAAGACAGCTAATCTTTTCATGTCTTCCACTCCCAATGGCAAGGTCTCACAGCTAGCCGTAAAGGAGGACGGAGCGGACTGTGTGTTAGCATATATATATATATATATATATATATATATATATATATATATAGTTACTGTTCTGAATGCCTTAATCACTATGTAACCATTATCCTTATTCAATTTCAGTTTTCACCGCATGAATTATCTCAGTGTTTAAAGGAATCGACTACTCTCTATGTTGGCAATTTATCTTTCTATACACGAGAAGAACAAATTTGGGAATTATTCAGTCGTGCCGGTGAAATTAAACGTGTTATTATGGGTTTACACAGATTTAGTAAAACTCCGTGTGGATTTTGTTTTGTGGAATATTGTACACGTGAAGGTGCAGAAGTTGCAATGCGATATATTAACAAAACACGATTGGATGATCGAATAATTCGTACAGACTGGGATGCAGGTTTTGAAGAGGGAAGACAATATGGAAGAGGACGAAGTGGTGGACAGGTAGACGGATATTTTTTTTGGAAAGCTTTTCTATTTTGATCAGTAATTACACTTGTCAAAACAGCATATGTGTACATATGTAGAAATTATATTTATAAAAATCTCAGTGAAATTAGTCGAAATCAAAAGCGTACTCAAGTGTTGGTTTGTAGGGATTTGATTGGTTTCAGGATTCCATCATGAGCTGGCATTAGTTAGAGAACCACTGGAAAACCTGGGAGTACTGAACAGCTGTTTCGTCCAGTGAATTGGCAGAAGTTAGAATTCAAGACCATCGGATCGGGTCCCAATGGCTTAATGGTATACGAGCTCGCCGTGTAACCAGAAGGTCCTGGGTTCGAATCCCGGTGGGTGTGTACTGCTGAAGAGTCCCAAATCAGGACGAAACAGCTGTCCAGTACTCTCAGGTTTTCCAATTGTTCTCTAACTAATGTCAGCTCATGATGAAATCCTGAAATCAAAAGCGTACCGCTGATGAGTCCCAAGCCAGGACGAAACGACTGGCTATCCAGTACTCCTCCCTGGTTTTCACTGGTTCTCTAACCGGCATCAGTCCGTGGCCTGATATGAAACAAATAAAATCTCTTCAAACTAATCTGCTGCTTGCTAGTGACTGGCCACAGGACGAAGTTACCTGAAGTTCCATTGAGGAGTCGTGACCTGTGGGGTCCATCATGTAGGAAGTGAGGATGGAGTCCCCGCCCATGACAACGGCTGGTGCTCACGCTAAAATCACCAATTGGTAGAAGTCAGAATTCATGGGCTGGTCATTGAGGAGTTGGGTCCCATTGGCTGAACGGTATGCGAGCCAGCTTGCCCTGTAACCGGAGGGTTCTGGTTCCCAAACCCTTGTGTTGGGTGTATACTGTCGATGAGTCCTAAACTATGGCTAAACAACTGGTCTTCAGTGATTGTCTAACTGATATCAATCTCTGGTCTAACCTGAAACAAATAGAATCATTTGAATAGATAGTCATTCCCGACCGAAAGCTGCTACCTTGACGTGGTGGTCGGGCTTGAACACCGCAATGACCTAATCAAGCTATACTGGCTGAGACTTATGTCTCTTGAGGTTCTACCATGCCAGGCAGGTTGTTTGGATAGCGGTTAAACAAAAAGCAGCTACCCAATCCAACATCATGTCCAATACAAAATTACAAAATTTCATGCCGGATCGGCCGTGGCCCGGATTAACAACGACCGCGCTTCCTGCTGCCGTGTCACAGGGCGGGAGTGATAAATCTGCTACTGAGGCACACAAAACAACAAGAACGAACAAAAGCAGGCCGCGTGTGACCGGCCTCAAGCAGTTGTCCCCTGGGCTCTGCGGTCACGCAACCAACTTCCACGGTGTGGGCAGCCGGGAAGTAACAATCGCCCTCACAATCCGAAACGCACGCGAAACCTCTCTAATCCTCACTCATCTTTGTCTTCATCTTCATCTCTATTACCTTGCCTTCCCCCCAGTGATGCAACTCCTCGACTTGATAGCTCTTCACTTCCTCTCCACTCTGCGTCCACTAAAAACGATGGAAGCCAAAAAACCACCACCGACAGCCTCTTAAAGCCGCGCCACCAATTTCATATAGGAGCTCTTAATGTTAGGACACTTTGCCAAATAGGACAACAAGCATCACTAGCCAAGACCCTGGCATCACGAGCCATTGATGTATGTTGTGTTTCAGAAACACGCATACAAGACCCAAACAAGATTATTCACCTAACCCCACCTGGCCAACAGGTTGAATCTGCAAAATTCACCTTGAGGGTGTCAGGAGATGCCACAGCTAGTTCACGAGGATTAGCTGGCGTAGGGATAGCTTTGAGTACTAGGGCAGAAAAGACATTGCTTGACTGGATCCCGGTAGATAGCCGAATGTGTGCTGTCCGCCTGAACGGATCAGTAAGAAGGAGGAAGGACTGCACTACTCGCCGATGCCTTTTCGTAATCTCCGCCTACGCCCCCACTGACTGCAGTTCAGATGAAACGAAGGATGAGTTCTACCAAAAGCTGTCTAGTTTGGTGAGAAAGGCTAAACGCTCAGACATAGTCGTTCTAGCTGGTGACTTTAACGCTCAAGTAGGGAAATTGTGTCAATCTGAGAAGGATGTCGGTGGCACCTATGGAGTTCCGTGCCAGCGAACCGACAACGGTGACCGTCTCCTACAGTTCTGCTCTGATAATCATTTGTTTCTTGTAAGCACTAACTTCAAACACAAGGAGAGACACTGTTTGACTTGGAGACCCCCTTCATCAAACCAACGCTGGACACAAATAGACCACATAGCAATAAGCTATCGTTGGCGTGGGTCGGTAGGAGATTGTCGCTCCTTCTGGAACACGTGCGTAGATACCGACCATGCACTGGTCCGCGCTCGGGTGTGCTTACGACTGAACGGACGTAGGAAACAGCTGGCGGTAAAACCATCACGTCCCCAGCTCGATCAGGAAACTAAATCCGTATTTCAGGAAGAACTAGCTAAACACATATCTGTGTTCGACAGCTGTGCTCACCCTGAAGAAGCTTGGAAAAATATCCAGGCAGCCATAGATACAGCTGTAAAAGCTGTGAATAAGGTAAACCCAAAGGTGAGTAAAAACCACTGGATCTCCACCGCCTCATCCGAACTGATAGATGCTAGAAGACTTATTCCGGCGAGCTCCGAATTCAATGAGGAGCGAAAGCTGCACAAGAGGAAACTTACGAAAAGTCTCCGCAAGGACCGTGAACAGTGGTGGGCGACAAAAGCCAAAGAGATGGAGAAAGCTTTGAGGATAGGCAACACCAGGCAACTCTTTGGACTCATCAGGGAAACGGGTGGGAGAAGACAAATCATTAGTGAGACAATCTCGGAAAAAAATGGCACTATAATTAGCTCCAGGATAGACGACTGGATCGTTGGAAAGAGCATTATGAGGAGCAGTTTAATTTGCCCACAGCCACGCTCAACCTTCCGAGCATCCAACACCTCCCTGAATGGGATATAGATACAGGTCCTCCGTCACTAACTGAGGTTACTAAAGCTGTCACCAATCTGAAACTAGGCAAAGCAGCGGGACCTGATGGAATGACGCCAGAGGTATTTAAGTACGGTGGAGACAGCTTACTGTCCGGATTAACTGAGGTACTAGGCAGCGTTTGGGAATCAGAAGAAGTCCCATCGGGTTGGTGTAAGTCACTGATTATCCCCATATACAAGAAGGGAGACAAGTCTTCCTGTGATAATCACAGAGGGATTAGCTTGACTAATATAGTATCTAAAGTCTTAGGCTCAATAATCATGCGTAGACTGAGTGGTGCTCGGGAAGCACAAACACGAGAGAGCCAGGCAGGCTTTAGACCAGGAAGAGGGTGTATTGATCATATCTTCACCCTCCGACAGATTCTAGAACATAGGCATTCCTACCGGCGTCCAACAGTCATTATATTTCTTGACCTAAAGGCAGCATTCGACTCTGTCGATCGGGAAGTTCTCTGGAGATGCTTGGCTGTAAAGGGAATTCCAAGAAAATATATTGCACTGATTAAGGCACTCTACTCGTACTCATACAGCCAGGTGAGGGCTTACGGCGAGCTGTCATCTGAACTGATGACGACCAGTGGTGTCCGTCAAGGATGCCCATTATCTCCTTTTCTATTCAACTTCATCATAGATGTGTTAATGGACTTAACCCTAGGTGACTTCAGCGATTCAGGGATTGACTTGCTACCTGGGAATAATCTCGTTGACTTGGAATATGCAGACGATATAGTCCTTCTAGGCGAAGACGCTGACGAAATGCAGAGTCTTCTAAACACCTTGAACAGCAATCTACGAATGTTTGGCATGCGATTCGCTCCCGCCAAATGCAAGATGATGTTACAGGACTGGACTACATCGACGCCTAGTTTAAAAATAGGAAGTGAAGTGGTAGAGCACGTTGACCGCTTCACTTATTTGGGAAGTACCATCAGCCCCAACGGGCTGATCTCTGACGAAATCTCAGCACGAATACAAGGGGCTCGTTTCGCATTTGTTAGTTTACGCCGACTCTGGCGTAGACGAGATGTTCGACTATCGACCAAAGGGCGGGTGTACTGCTCATCAGTCCGCTCCGTCCTCCTTTATGGTTGTGAGACCTGGCCACTGAGAGTGGAAGACATGAAAAGACTAGCTGTCTTTGATCATAGGTGCCTGCGTTCTATTTCCCGTGTAAAGTGGCATAATAAGGTGAGCAACATGGAGGTTAGGCGTAGAGTTCTAGGTAAACAGGGGAAATCAATCGACGAAGTCGTGAAGCTACATCGACTGAGATGGTTAGGACATGTGTTACGTATGCCAAGTCATCGCCTCCCTCGACGAGCAATGTTAGCGGATATAGGGTCAGGCTGGAAAAAAGCTAGCGGCGGTCAAACAAAAACTTGGCATCAGTCAATGAAATCCACAACAGTTGGTCTAAGCCACGTAGGAAGGTGTAGACTTCCAGGCTGGGGTCCTCGGGACGGTAAAAATCTATGGTTGGAAACAATTGGTGACATGGCTCAAAATCGTTCTCAGTGGCGCAGATGCATCCACTCCCTGTGACTTATGATCTTCAATGAAACTGTTTTGTATTTCTTTATTACTCCTTTGTCTCACACCTCTGCTCACTGTTTCTATTATGCTTTTCTTGTACTTTCTTCTCTTGCTTCGCGTGCTACACGGAATGTGGCGACTTGAACTTCCGCACATTTGTGCAAAGTTCTATGTCGAAAACAGACAGACAGACAGATAGTCATTAGTTATCCACAATCATTCATATCTATGAAATATTCTTTTCCTGTACGACTGCCACTCACATTTTAGACATGATGTATGTTTAATTCTATACTAAAATTTACCGTAACATTCCTACCACTATTTGTCATTATTATTATTATTATAGGTGCGAGATGAATTCCGTAGAGATTACGATGCTGAAAGAGGCGGTTTTGGCAAAATCATTCAACGAGAAGGAGAATAACTTAATTTTTATTTCAAAATTTTGTATTTTATTGTAAAAAAAAAAAAGAAAATTCAAATGTACATACACTTGGGTGTTTTTTATTAATGAAATTTGGTTGGTTATTCTGCCTAGTAATTCAATATATATATATAAGGAGGAAATAATCTGTTTTCGATAGAGAAAGGCGGAACAAATTTGCAGGATAAAATGTTGTGATATCATCAGTCTATTTCACACACAGGTTTTCCCCCACATCAGCTAACTGAAAACTATCTGAAATTCCCTATTAGTTTGTTTATTAGAGTGAAACAGTATTATTTACTGGATGACATGGTTTCGAACGAAATTTGTTGTGGTTCATAACCATTTCATCAATTACAATCACACGACTTCGAAACTTCAGTTTTATAGTTTCCTCTGTCCTCTCCTATTTGTCGTCGTTGGGGTAGTAGAATTTTCCACATATCTGGGTGGACAGGTGTTGAATCATTCCTATTACACGTGTTGTTTTGCATTTGATTCGATAAATAAGGCTTCTGTCATCAATCTCTCCCTCCACCCTGTTTCATCAGAATCTGAAACTGTCATCCTATCCCATCCAACCTATTGAATGGTTGTGTTTAATTGCATGTGGTGAGTGGTATAGCTGAACTATTCTCTAGGTTTCTATGTTCGACTAGTCTAACTGCTCCTGTTCTACTAGTTTGACCTATGTATTGACCTGACAATCACTGCAGATAGGGTATTAGATAAACTAAATTGCTTTGTTTTAAAGGCTCCGCTGGCAGGATCCTTCAACCGACAAAGCTTGTTTCTAATTGAGTTTGTGGGAGATTTGGATGCCAGTCACTTTTATTCCTGCCTTGTTAAGGATTATGCGTAAGGTTTACGAGGAACTCCGGAGACGGGGAATTCTTTACAATACAGACAGGGATAAAAGTGGCTGGCATTATCGAATCAACTGAGAGAGAATACGTGTAATAGGAATGATTCAACACCTGTCCACCCAGATATCTGGAAAATTCTACTACTCCAACGACGACAAATAGGAGAGGACAGAGGAAACTACAAAACTCAAGTTTCGAAGTCGTGTGATTGTAGTTGGTGAAATGGTTATGAACCACTACAAATTTTGTTCGAAACCATGTCATCCAGTAAATAATACTGTTTCACTAACTGTGTGATACATCTAATAAACAAACTAATGTGGAATTACTTACTACCACAGTGCCCAATTTTTACACGTATATTAGTACCTAAAATTACAATGGTTGTAAATAATAATAAATTTAATGTTTGAATAGTAGTTGATAAAAACAACATTAAAAATCAACGCATCCGGAATATATAAGCATTACAATTCGCTTTAGTTCAAGTCACTATCAATGTTATATGCTTTCAAACTATGAAGACAGCAAAATGTGTGATAAGCAATGTTAGCTTGTACATCTACATGCAGCAACTTAAGAAGGTTAGAGTTCATCGAATTAAAAACTTGCTCAGTGGGCTAAACTTACTAATGTGTGTGGCTAATCAGAGTAATACGGTTACCAGGGAAGTGAGAGATCGACCATAAATTCTCTTTATGTGTGCATAATTTTGGTCTGAAATGCTTGATTGCAATCGCTTCAGCTAATCGTGATAAATTCGTTATCCTTTGTATGTTTAATATTTTAAAGGATTTGGTAATGTCGAGTAAATGACTTGGAATATTCTCTGAAAATCCGATAGAAGTCCTCCCAATGTACTTTGTATCGCAGGTGCACGTCAGTTTATAAATGTTGTTGGAGGCAACATCAGCAGGGTACATATCCAGTTTCGATTGACTTACAGAGCATGTAGTGCTGCTGTATAGCGTCACCACCTTAGCTGTAGGGAAGCATTTCTTTATTGCTCCTTTCATCCTCTTGTCCATTTTTTGTGATATTGCTTCTCCTTTGAATCGGAGGCAAATGAACACTTTTTTCTTTTCAACTGTTGGATACTTCTCTTTCTTTGGTGTACTTTAGGATAAATCCTTTTGGATACTCGTTTCCCTTAAGGCATTTTTCAACAAAGCTTAATTTTTCTTCTACCTTGTTAGGCGAACGTAACTTCCTGGCTCTGTTGTACAGTGTCCTTACTAATCCCCGCTTATAGGGTAGAAGCTGTTATAGTGAAGATATTGTCGCGTCCACGTTTCTCTTCTGTAGATGGACTTTTCGACGAATCCACCATTTCTTCTTTTTACATTAAGGTCCAGGGAATTGAACTCGTCGTTGTATTCATATTCCATGGTGAATTTCATGTTTGGGTGGATCTCATCAATAAGGTGGTCACATAATACGGATGCCTGATTCATGTCGTTACAAACAACAATCGTATCATCGACCTGTATGTTGTTTCATCGACAGCTCCACTCAGTCGCATCTGTTCGAGATAACCCATGAAGATATCGTCTAGAATAGGTCCTAGAGGTGGACCCATGCCAACCCCATCAATTTGAGGTTTTTTGTGCAAAGAATTAGTAGGCGCTCTATATCTGTTTCCCGTAATGGCAATATATCTGTTTGTTTACAAATGATGTCTATTGTTTCCATCACTGGTACATTTGTAAATAAGGTAGTCACGTAGTATGACACCATTAGTTTGTCTGTTATAACAAACAACATGGTGGACTTCTTTAGAAAATTGGAAGGTGTCTTCCAAGCTATGACTTGCAAATTTCTTCTGGCTAATTGTACTTATATGTATACCCATATGAAGCTATGGCTATAAGGCCTCACCGAGTCCCATCAATGTCTGTCCAAATATTCATTCTGTTTAACGTATTTCATACTTGACGTTCCTCACTTGGATGCAGACAGATATCTCAGTTTACGCGAGGATGTGGCTTCTAATATATTTCGAAGTGTATGTTAGCTGCATTTAAGATATTTTGCTACGAACTATTCTGTGTGGTATACGAATGAAATTGGTACCCTATTCATGTTATAAGAGCTGATGGATATATTCAGAAGGCTGCAGCGCTGTTTCTATGGAAAGGGGACTTCAGGAATGTAACTGTTTGGAGAATCCCAAATTTACCCAATAGTAGATAGATTGTGGGACTGTTGTTATCTTTAAATCGAACAACCGCTAACTTCACTAAAAGCACTTCAAGGAGTTGTCATCGACGATTTAGCGGCTTTATCTGATAGAATGCCTGAAATACTGCGTCGGCCAGTCAATGAAATGAACTTGATTAACGGTCTCCAAGTAGTGACATTGGGACGGCGGAGTTATACAGCCCTGCTCCCCTCAACATAGAAACTCGCGTGGTCGATCAAAATTTAAACCACGCTCACTTAAAATGCCTGACTCGTGTTAATATCATAATACTTAGTGCCAGGAGACAAAATGTTGCTAAAGACCCTGAATTTATGGCGAACCATCCCACAAGCAGACATCTTAGCCAGGTGCAGTAGTCATCTGCTTAACATCTGAAATGTAGTCAACAGAGCCCGTCACACGGATAACACAGGTTCTGAAGTCAGTATCCTCCATTCTAAAGAGGCAGATGGGCAGGAGGTATCCACCTTCAACTTACAGGCTGTGAGTGTAAAACCTCTGCGAATTATTCCATTAGAATGCAGAATGAGACAAAACTAGCCAGAGAATTTCAAGGAAGCCAATCGCCCAGGCTGCTTGAGTGATTTTGAACTGGTTTCGACTATATATAACGCATGTTTGACTATCAACTCTGCTAGGCCTGAGTGCTAGCCACACTACCTGCTGACTCTCAAGTCTGACCCATCTAACTTGGTGGCCTAGCTGTTCCTAAAATCGTTTCAACTAGCAAAACCAGAACAGAACAATTGCGGCCGCTGAAAGGCGTATCCACTGACGATGATGTGAACATTGTACAAGTAGATAGTCACACCACAGAGAAGCTGCTGACACCCTGTACTGAACAAATGCTAACGTCATTAAAAACAGTACAACACATATATGAGATGACATGTGATATTCTAATTAAAAGTTGGTCGCAATACATAGTGTTAGCACCAACCAAACTAATCCTAAGATCGAAAGAAAATCCCTCAAGGCTCTAACTAGGCAAGTTAACTGGCACACTTTGCCTCGTTTTCCTGTCTGAATGTGGGGCAGCGCCAAAATGCAAACTCAGCCTGGGTGATACTTTATGGAACATTCGCGTCTCCAAGGCTACTGTTGTTCCGTGGTATTATTAGTCTTTTGTTATGGCTACAGTCTCTTTATGGAAATCGAGTAAGAAGTGAAAACCATACACGTCTAATATGGTGAATTCACCCCCAAGTATTCAAGTATTGGTTTCTAGGGATTCGATTGGTTTCAGGATTTCATCATGAGCTGGCATTAGTTAGAGAACAATTAGAAAACCTGGGAGTAGTGGACAGCTGTTTCGTCCTGGTTTGGGACTCTTCAGCAGTACGCACCCACCGGGATTCGAACCCAGGACCTTCTGGTTACAAGGTGAGCTCGTAGACCATTGAACCACTGGGACCTGATCCGATGGTCTTGAATTCTAACTTCTGCCAATTCACGACATAGCGCGACTGCTAGCCAATGTCTTCGGCGAGTATTTGTCCTCACACCCAACCCGTCACGACTTGGATCGGGTCCCAGTGGCTTAATGGTATACGAGCTCGCCTTGCAACCGGAAGGTCTTGGGTTCGAATCCTGGTGGGTGCGTAGTGCTGAAGAGTCCCAAACTAGGACGAAACAGCTGTTTGGTACTCCCAGGTTCTCCATTTGTTCTCTAACTAATGTCAGCTCATCACCCCTAAGTAATTCATAATTTTAGGTGAGCGTGCATCGCTAACTGAACCAGGATGCGTGTTCCTCCACACCGACCAGTTGCTTTCTTTTTCCCGAGAGATTACGAGATGTCGGGGATTGCCTGGAAAACATTGCAGTTATCCTTCTGTATGTACTATACGTGACTATTACTTAGGTACCTCAAAAACATTGTTGCAAATGTGGGCAGTTTGAGAATACCAATACATTGGGCGTACAATTAGGTAGGTTCATCACCCAACATGGTTAAGCAAGGGACAAACAAGATCTATTCGCATATCTGTTTTAGCACGCCCTATATATAGTGAGCATAAGGTTGATGTTAATACAGCACTTAAAATTATCTATCGCATTCCTACTAATCTTAATCTTGCTCTACGAGTTCGTCTTCTACATACAGCTGAAGCAATAGGAATCCACCTGAAGAAGGCAAACCTGTGTTCAGAAGAAATTTGTACAGCCAGTTTCCTCACCTTGGCCATCGTTACATGGATATATAAACCGGACTACTTCACCTCCCTCCGACTAAACCTTTAAAATTATAAAAATTATAACTGTCCAAATTATTATTGTTTCTGACCACTTCATCTTTAAATTACGTGTTATCCTTGTAAAATTAATTTATTCTAACCATTTCTACTTTTTATATGTGTATTGATTTTCTTCGTTATCACCAGCGCCTTGACATGTTGACACTGACTAATTATTGTTAACAAACATATCAGTGCCACTTGATTGGCGAACTGTTGTGTATTGTAATAAAAATGCTCTATGTATATATATTAGAGTAGAGCCGGAGAGAAATGAGGATCTAATTGAAAAGTAAATATCTCTTCGCTCAATCTTTCTGTTTTCTAAATACCAAAAAGGTGCACTACCTTCATAAATCACGATCACATTAATAATACCATAGTTAATCGAAGATTCTCCGGTTACTGCTGAAATAACGTTCGCTAATTGTGACACTTGCTAAAGCTCCTAAGTTAAAGTCATTTTCATTGTGTTAGCAGTCGTGTCAGTCAGACAATCTCTAATCCAACCATCGTCTTGAAGATAGGAGAAATCTATTTCGGAAACCACTTAAGCAGTCTCTGAGACCCCGTATTCAACAGTACAGTTGGGTAAGAGTATATCCAAGAAGACAATAGGTTCCAAGTTTATTCATTTTGTAAACAGCTTGTGCTTAAAAGCTAAACGACTGACTTAATTCCAATGATTTAAAGTTATGGGAGAATACCACCCATACTGAAGAACTGATACGGAACTCTGTATGGATGCGTACACCTCCAGTCAGAATACAAAAAGTAGAAGCAGAACGATTTTACAATAGACAAACATACGTGAGAGGACGACCTAATCAATAGTTTCTGCATACTTGCTGGAAGTACGCCTACAACTAGTTGGCCAGGGCTGGTGTAATTTTCAAATAAGACAACTCCGTGACCTCAAGTACTGTGACTCGGCTACAAATATCAAAAGTTCATTTCTTTACGCAGTTTCCAGTAAACCCAGTGGTGTATGTTTCCCTTAGCAAGGTTATATCATCCATGCGCTTCGGTGGCACAGCAGTTGAGATGCTCGCCGACGATTCACATGGTCGGGATCCGATCCCCGTCCGACGCACAAGTGATATCAATTGGTCGGCCTGCTAAATTTCGGTTACCGATATCACATGCCGAAAATTCAACACTTATATCAGACTATATGTGGAATCAAGCCATAATAAAATTTTAAAAAATAACCGGCTCTTGTGCAGTCAGTAAAAAATAATGCCGGCCTAACAACTGCTCACACTACATCTCTCTACGAAACCCGTTGTCTAAACCACTGAGATGTTTCCCTGTTAAATAGCTAACTGCTGCGTCGGTGGCACAGTGGTTAGGACTCTCGTCGACCATGCACATGGTCCGGGGTTCGATCCCCTACCGACGCACACCTGATATCTATGGTCGGCCTGCGAAATTTGGGCTACCGATATCCACGCTGAAAATTCCATACTTGTACCAAAAATACGCTGTGGAATAAAGCTGTAATCAAAAATAAAATCAGCCACAAATAGCAATGTTGGATATTCTAAGGCGAAGTATTCATACACTCCAACACCTTTATTCGTTTTTGATCATTCGCGTATGTTGGTTATTGGTAAACAAAAATACTGCTGAAAATCATATGAAGACTTGCTTAGTAGACGCCTAGCTTTAGAATCACATTTTCTTTTGTGATTTCTACTTATCTGATTGAACGCATTACGCGACAAAATTATCAAAACCGATTATGTACATACGAACGCGCACATATTTACACCGTAAGTCAACAAATGAAAGGAATCAAAAAGTTAATTTGAGCTAATAATGGACTTGTTGAATCAGTTTAAAATGGCTTTTAACATTAAAAAATAATTTAGACAGACCGGATGAATTCGATATTTTTAAAGTGAAACAAGCATTCCTTTCGTGAGATTTTGAGCTTTAGTTTCTCCACACAAAAGTTCCACTAGTTTCATGGCAAAAGCAAATGCCGTCCCTGGTCCTCGGCTAGTAACAAGTTTACCATCGACGACGACTTTGTCTTCACTGTATGTATAATCTGGTAGCTTTTCTTTGAAGCCCGGATAGGATGTTAATTTCTTCCCTTTGTAAATTTCATGAGCTTCTAGGGCAATCGGTGCAGCGCAAATTGCTGCGATGTATTTGTCATTTTTCTCATGCTCTTTTAGTATTTGGCCAACCAACTTGGATTCTGCCATGGCTTTAGAACCACCCATTCCACCTGGCATAACAACTAAGTCGAAGAGCTGTGCTGACACACTAGAAAGTGCTACACTTGGTTTGATGCAAACTCCATTACTTCCTTTAAGGACTCCATCACCCTGAAGTCCACCAATGGTAACCTGAACACCAGCTCTGGAAAGAACGTCAGCGACCGTTACTGCTTCGATTTCTTCTGCACCTTCAGACAGTATTAACAACGCTGTTGAACCCATATCTCTACGCAATTGTTAAGAAGAAATGTTGGTACAATTTTTTGTCAAGTGCAACCTAGGTGTAGTGAGAATCAGGTTATGATCAAATCCATACAACTTACAAGTAGGCGCACAATTTTCAGGTCTAACGCCCTGCCTTATACTGGCCGATTGGCAAGGTCATTGAAAGACAATTCCAAGGCTGGACTTATTCGTCACGTACTCTAGAAGTTAAGTTTGGAATTTTTTTTGCCAATAATTTTTAATAAAATTGTATTATATGTTATCTAGATTGAGGGAAATTCCCACTTTTTGGCTGGTTATGTTGGTGTCCGCCTCATGTGATCTGACTGCGACACACTTTTAGCATATTGGTTGCAATGATTAGTGTTTCAGATGGAATGTATCAAAATGTCGGTGTAATGAGGGAGATAGGATAGTTAGAGGGTAATGCCATTTACACCACTCAATATCGTTTTTACGAGCTAGTATAAACCAATTTGATTTCTTTGTGCTCGCTTCTTGATTGTGAGGTATAGGTTCCTGATCTTTGGTAAGCTTCTGCTTAGCTTGTCCCGCCACTCGACTGTCGTAGCTTTGGTTGACTCCAAAGGGAGTAGTGCTGGGATTAATTATATGTGGTTTGTAGTATGAGGTATGTCAAGACTGTTACTACTGTGGTTGGATTTGATCCTTTCGCCAGTTAGTCCTTCGGTATCGTCGACAAGAGAGAAGAGATAGTAATAATAATAATAGTAATAATAATAATAGATATAATTAGTGAATCTATTCAGACTAAGAGACAGAAACGAAAATAGGAAACGTAACAACAGTCAGCTCATTAAGTTTGAATAATAATATATATACTGGTAATAGTAATAATAATAATAGTAATTATAATATTAATAAGTTGTCAGGAGAGTAAGACGGGAGAGAATGTAAAGAAGTAAAACGACGAGTATATCTTCCGTTCTGCTGAAAAAAGGTGGTAATGACATGAGTTTACTCTTACTCAAGTTATACTCAATTTCATTAAGCGATGGGACATACCCTAACTGCTGGAAGAAGTCTTATATTGTACCTATCCATAAATACGGGCCTATAGCTGATATCAACAACTACCGCCCCATCAACATCACGTCTGTAGTTTCACGTGTAATGGAAAAGATAGTTAAGACTCAAATCATTCAGTACTTGCTGTCAAATGACCTACTATCCCCATCCCAATACGGTTTCTTAAGTAGAAGGTCGTGCATTACTTGCCACTTAGATTATTTTGACTACATCACACAAAGCATTGATAATGGGCGTTCGGTAACAACATTGTTTCTTGACGTTAGCAAGGCCTTCGATAAAGTCCCACATATCAGACTCCTAACAAAACTCCAATCCTACGGAATAACCGGAAATCTTCACAAATGGATAAGTTCTTTTCTCACAGAAAGAGAGCAATTAGTCAAAATCAACCACCAGTTGTCTTCCTCAAAGCCGATAACCAGTGGTGTAATACAAGGTAGTGTTCTTGGCCCTATTCTATTCCTCTTATTTATAAATGACATAGTCTCTGTAATCAAGTATGGCAAGCCATACCTTTTTGCAGATGATCTCAAGATAGTATATGATTATGGGTACGGTGATATGAGCGTCGAAAGCAAGATCCAACAAGACTTAAATGATCTAGGCGATTGGAGCGAAAAGTGGCAACTGACTTTCAACCCAGACAAGTGCGGTATAACCCACCTTGGACGCTGGAAACCGATAATGTGCCTATACATGTACGGTAAGCTCCTGTCAAAACTGAACACAGTCACAGACCTCGGGATAACATACTCAGATTTATCCTTTTCCGATCACGCAAATAAGGTTGTATCTGACTGTAAACGACTTACTGGCTTTGTACTGCGTAACTTCTACACCCAAGAAGCAAGATTAGCTATATATAGGACATGTATCCGTCCCAAACTTGAATATTGTGCTCTCCTATTTAGTAACCTCAGGACTGTAGACAGAAAAAAAATCGAAAGTGTCCAGAGATTCCTCACGAAACGCATAATAGGGTTCGACCAACAAGTGGAATATGTTGACAGGTGTGTACGTCTGAAATTAGAGCCTCTGTGGTTAAGGAGAGTGAAGTGCAACCTATTTCTACTCTTCAAAGTCATTAGGAAACACTGCTACAGTAACTCATCCATAACTTGGGAAAATATTAAATCATATCAGCTGCGAAACCACGACTACCTTGTCAAGGTGGCTACCCACAGAAAATCCATTAGGGCAAACTTTTTCACCATAAAATATTGCACTCTTTGGAACCAACTACCACCTGAAATAAGATGTTGTGAAAACCCTGATGGGTTCAAACGGAGCCTAGAAAGACACTTTAACATGTCCACCCTAGCTCGTCTAAAAGACCACAACTGTTGGTAGAACGGAAATTGAAGGCCAGTCCAGTCTTCAGTATAGTCACATACGTATATCTCGACTCTAATACTCACGCAGCGAACGTTAACTAATTTACTGATTTCTATTCTCTATAATTTTCACTAAGTTGTGTTGGTGAAAGTAACACTGGAAATAATTGTAATAGCATCCACACCTTTTAACGTTTTACATATGTATATACTAATATAACAATACTTATTAATCATGCATGTTCAACTCTTAAATTAGATGGATATTAAAATACTTAAAATATTTATGCATCAAATGTTCTCTTGCTTTACCACGCTTGTTTCCCTTATAACACTCAATTATTGAACCTAGTGTAATATTTGATATACGAACTATATTATTGATTATACTCTTATCATATATGGTTTGATTTACTCTACGGCTCCCTGTAGACTAACCACCATTCTTCAGTATACACACACTGCAGTATTGTTAAAAAACGCCAAAATTTCGTTGGTTCTGTGTTAATATCTTTTTATAATATGTCTAGACACGTTACTTTGCAATGTCAGATGTTTACTATATATAAGACTGTCATGAAAATTTAGTACACTAAGTCCTGCCAACCGACCTTACCTTCAGTCCATACTACCTAAATTGAACCTTAACTATAGTATTCTGCTAAATCTTGCTCCACTATTCACAATACCTATTCGTTTTACTCTTTAAGGTTTTAACTTCTTATAAAGTAATCTGTTCATCAGGATGCATGCACACATATATAATATGTTCGTAAAGATGTACGTGGAGACCTATTGGAAGCACTCATTAAGAAAGCTAGGGAGATGGAATATGGGGTACGAACATGTCTGGTACCAAGCAATATATTTGCGGTAGCCATAATAATCATAGTCTCAGAGCCTAACATCAAAAAAGGAGGGAGGGTGGCGTTAGCTGATCAGTAGATATGGTGGTGGTCACTAAGGTGAATCGCCCCATTCTGCAGGAACAGCAATATACAAATTAAAGGCTCGAGATATTTCTGATTTTTATGAGGGCTTAGATCTTTATCTTGAAAAAGATAATAGTGAACGCCTTGACAGATAATGCTTCTACCTTTAAATATATACCATTCGCTCAGCCTATTGTTGAGATGCGACCACGTGGGATCTGCACAGATTTATGGGGCATCTTATGAATTAACTTGCTATCCATTGTCAGATCTTTAAATACCACTTCACAATATCTTGTCTCACTTATTTTCTAATAACGTCTTTACTTGATTCTCATTATATTCCATTAAACCTAACATTTTATAGCTCTTTATGAATTTGATTCGACTTATTCTATTCCTATTCTCTGGAGGGTACGGTTGTGCACCAAATAGAAAAAAAGACATGAAATAAAGACAACTGGCTTGAAAATAATTGTATTAAAGCCAAAAGTGAACGCATGATAGTATAAAATATATTGGTTTCATTATACATTGCAAATGAACGTTGTCGGCCTAAGGATTAATTACTTCCCCATTCTGTTTTCTATATAAATGTGTTTATTAATGATATATTTCACTCACTTAATCTATTACACTTTAATGTTACACCACAGCACTTTAATTTTTCTAAAACAGCTTCCAATTCCTTGTAAACGTTGTACTTACCTCAATATTGGTTGATTATCGTATGCCTACAACCACGGGATGAAAACGAAACGAAGTCGATTTTCCCGCTCAACCTGGAGGACAATTGTACAATTCAATAACTATACAGCCTAGTTCAGACAATGTGTATTTATATATATATCAAATATTTAACTGTTGAAACATTATTAACTTGTAGACAATTTAAGATTTGACATTATATCATCCTTGATCGTGCCTGTAAAAATGGCATGCATTTTCATGTAAATTTATGTTTATATGAAAATAAATTATTATTATTATTATTATAATTATCTACCCCTGATTGGTATATGCGATTTTAAGGAGATAGGCCATTTGGATGCAGTCCTTGTATCGCTGCATGGTTGTCCAGCCTTCGCTTAAAGGCGTCCAAAGACGGTGCCATAGCTACATCTGCCGGCAAGGAATTCCAGGGACGGCAAACCCGCAGTGAAAAGAAGTGGGAGCGCACCCGGGTCCTTACCCTCTGGTGAGCTATCCTTCTGGGATTTCCACGTGGGAGCCTATACCTACTCAATGGCAGAACACCCTTGTTTGGGTGATTCTGGTCATTTGTTATTTTGTAGGCAGTAATCAAATCCCCCTAATCCGACGGTGACTAAGTGTGAACAGGCCTAATTTCTTCAGCCTTTCATCATATGGTTTGTTTCGGAGACCAACCACTCTTTTTGTTGCCCGTCGTTGGACTCTTTCCAAGAGGTTGGCGTCTCTTCTCAGCATTGGGGGTGCAATAATATTATGCACCTCAAGGTGTGGCCCGACGTATGTTTTGTACAACATTAGAAAGAGCTCAGGAGTGAGTGCACCTAACTGTCTATGCGTAAAGTGTATGACCGCATATGCCCTCGCTACATCCCCTGTGTAATTTACGCTTGTGTCCATTTTTTCCGTTAGAACTAGACCTAAGTCGCGTTCCGACATTGTGCAGGACAAGCTTCCATTGCACAGGGTGTAACTTGCATTCTGCAGTCTACAGGTGCGCAACTTCACTACTTTGCACTTTTTCAAGTTGAAAGTCATGCCACTGGCCACCGCCCAGTCTTCCAGAAGGTTTAGGTCTTCCTGTAGCCTATCTGAGTCCTCCGGACACTTTATCGCCCTCCATATTTTCACGTCGTCA